GTGATGATAAAATCATCAAGATGGCGGCCAAATTGCTAAACATTGACAACATTGTCTGAGTGTATTTTAAGTCCTCATTGCATTCATTCAAATGCCGTTAATGTGTCCATCAAAATTACACTTCAGAGGGTCTGGTTATGAGWATGATATGAYGTATTTCCGGTTGTTTTAGATACGAAAAGAGAAGAATCATCATCCGCCAGGGACATCCGGGATTTTGTTTCTACTTCATTGTGTCAGGGACAGTCTCCGTGACCGTGACTCGATGTGATTTAAAAACAGGCATTTATGTGACAAACACGGTTGACGTACTTGAGAAAAACGATTCCTTTGGGGTGAGTTATTTCTAGAAATGTATTCTTAAAAATATTTTTTTCTTTGAACAATTTGAAAAAGAAATATATTGATAAAAAAGGAAAACCGTCCCCGGGTGGGCTTGAACCACCAACCTTTCGGTTAACAGCCGAACGCGCTAACCGATTGCGCCACGGAGACAGCTGCAACAACCTGCTTTGAAAATTTCCGACAAATGACAGCGGTAATACTGAGTTACTGAGTTTTCAGTATATTTTGTTTAAAATTGATGCGTTCTTTTTTTTATAATCCATTCAATCAGTTCTCTCTCTCATTTATTTCACTTTCTCRTGCACTCATTCAGTCAGTTTTTCATTCCATCAATTTTCCACAGGAAATTGCTCTAATGACTCCAGATGCACGGCGTACAGCCACGATTATTTGTCGAGAACGCGTTGAAGTCTTGGTGGTCAACCGAGAGACGGTTATGGAGCACTGTCCTGACGTCTTCCAACGAGATTTTGATGAAAAATTCAATGTTCTAAGGTAAGGAAAAGGTTCAGCCTTTTTCCCTTTATTYATTTACTTGTTCATCCATCCTTTCATTCGCTTATTCCTCCATYTCTTTTCGGCTTCCAATAGAGGTCACGATATATTCAAACGCTGGAGCAACAACTCATTGAAAAAATTATGCTTCGAATCACATATCAAAGAGGTTGGTATATCCGTCAATTTTCATCTTTTATTATTCTTTAGACTTATTAGATAATAATTCCTAGTTATCTATTTATTGTGACATGGTTTTTAAAACAATTCATCGTCACAGCGGCCATCTTGAGGAAGCTTCAACAACAACAAAAAAAACCCTTAGTATCTATTGCTCATTTTTTTTTTTTTTTTTTTTTTTGCTCATTTGGTACATTTTTTAATCTTATGGGAATGGTTGAAAATTAAACGATCAATCAAGTGACGTAATGTTATTTCTCAGTTAGCGCATGGTAAACTCGTGGATCCAGATTCAACAAAATCTGAAGCTGTTTACTTTATAATCAAGGTATGTTATCTATAATCGGGAACGTCAAATTTATAGTTATATATACTGACGTACTATATTTCATGATAAACACAGGCAGTCCATCCAATATCAACCTCGAGAAAATTTGGCGCACTATCCTATCATTCTATATAGATGAACCTCTATCAACCGCCGAACCATTTAGCGAGACCCCCAATAAAGCGACCACTTATGAATTTCCTGAAATTCACTTCTTATATAAATGTATTTATTGTAAACTGAACCTCTATTAATCGGCCRACCTCGATAAAGCGGCCAGGGCTGACAGATTAGCAGAGTTTCACTTTTCCTTTACTAACCTTCTTGTTACGGTCATAGGGTAAAGTTGACATGCTGCGTCGGCTAGACATTTCTGCGGTGATCGCCTCTAAAGTATCCATAAGGCTCTACGAGACAAAACCCTTGCCCAGACCCAGCTCAGCAATACCTGGCAAAGGAAAACCGCAAATAGAATTCGTCAACGTCGGGTCACTAACCAAGAATGACAGTTGGGTAAGTAATTACAACAACAAAAACAAAAAA